TGTTTCCTGGTTGACCGACGTTGCCTTTCTGTTGTCCTTCAGTCCCCTGCTGCCAACCTTGACAAGCAAGGTGAGCCTCACCACCACAGAGACGCCAGACCTGCTGTGAGCCGCCGCCGCCACAACTCCTCCGACGGATTCTTCAACAACGGCTCCCTGCGTGCTCCAGCAGGTAACCTGTTACTGACCTTATTTCAGACTTCCATCTTATTATTTTTTAGGTAGCTGTGCGCGGGTCACAGCGAGTATAGCCCCACAAACACAAACATCGCTCTTGAAAAACATTCGCGTGTTCAATGTGATCACGTTTAATTTGCCCGTGGGTGCTGCGCTAAAGCGGGCGCCATAACAACGGCCGAAAAGTGATTTCTTCTGGGCATTTTCTGTATGAAATAGAGGGCTGCGCCCGAGCATTTCCTCATATTTTCACATTTGTTGATGGTCTCATCGAACAAACGGCGGAGAAAAAAGTATCAATACAGACCATTTTGGAGGTTTCATTGGTATCGTTTATCACAATAAATGATAAACGTTACTATAAAAGTCCAGCCCTGCTTTCTTGTGTCAGTAGAGAACAGTCCTTTAATCAGCTCTTCTAAACCATAGGAACCATTATAAACCATTATAGGAATTCCAGCTGCCGGTATCTTTGGAGTGTCTCTATAGCAACCAATTTTTCTCTGGAGACTTGGATCTCAAGATCTAAGATTACTTTATTGATCAATGCAAGGAAAAAATAATTTGTCCAAATAGCAGAGAAATGATGAAAATATTGAATAAAAGCAAATGGTAGAAAGCGTCAGACAGGATGAAGAGAATCACTTTGAAAGTTTTGCTCCATAACCTCAAATGAGCTTGGGTCTGGACTTGGACTAGGCCTTTCTGTCTCAGAACTCATGGACTTTTTGAAAATAAATGTAGGTGTATCAAGATAAAGGCTAAATAGAAATGCACACCTGATTTTTTTTTTTTTTTTTTTGTAAATGTTTCTGTAAAATTTTTCATCCGTTGCCTTTTACTTAACTTCTATGTCCAACTTTGTGTTGATTTATTATTCTACGTGAAGTTTATACAATAAAGAAAATGTTGGACTCAGTGACTCATATTACAAACTGCAGCCGGTGGAGTTTAAATCCAGGACAGTTTGTTGTCATCACAATATATATTTTGTTTATTAAATGTATGTTCAGGTGATGGCTGGCAGCAGCCCTCGCTGCTCCTGAGGCATGACTCTGTGGACTCCGGGGTGGCCAAGGGTGGGCACGGCGGACTGGCGGGGGGCTCCTGTTGGAAGGAAGCACCCAACTGGCACGGAGCCCCGCGCGGCGGCGCCCAGGACGGCCACCACCACCAGGGGCGCCACCCCAAGCGGGGCGGAGGCGACAGGGACAGGCAGGGGGGGCACCGGCAGCGCAACGGCAACTTCCATCCCCGCAAGGGAACCTCGTACCAGGACAAGTTCCCCAACGAGGAACGCAAAGACGGCAAGGACGACAAGCTGAATTTTGTAGAAGAGGACTTTGTGAGTTCTGGATGCCAATTTACTAGAAGCTGACTTCAACGTTTTCTTTCCTACCGCATCTGAAATGTTTTTTTTTTCTTTTTTTTCGCAGCCCTCCCTCAACCCTGAAACAACTGGAAAGTCTGGCACTCAGATGCGAACAGTTGCTCCCCACGCCGGGGTTTGGGGTACGAGAGCATCGAGTCGAGACGAACTCATAACGATCGAATGTCTCTGCTGGTAACACGAATTCCTGTACGTCTGTTCCAGAAAACCCTCCTGTCAGCAAACAGATGGTGTCCAAAATGCTGGTCATCAAGAAGGTTTCCAAGGAGGACGCCGGCACGGCATTCTCTGCAGGGTTCGCCACTGCTGGCAACTTGCCCATCAACGGCAGCAAAGCTCCCCTCACGGGCTCCAGCGTCTACAAGAACCTGGTCCCCAAGCCTGCTGTGGCCCCCACCAAGGTAGGGGGGGGACAGAAGAGGCCGACATCAGAAGCTACTTAGCTTCTGATAGTTTTATCTGCTGTTTTCTCTCAAGTTTAGCTACTATTTACTTACAAATTTAAGCCTCTATCATCAGGGAAAACAGGCTTTAGGTTTTACCACAGTTTGGCCACAGGGGGCAGCAGAGATTCATCATAATATTTCAATAAAGGCCTTTTTCTGAACACTGTGTTTTGGGATGAAAATGGAGGAGTTAATGGAGCGCTTTTTATATCTTGATCAAGGTGCTTCATGATCCTTGTTGTTATCAGTTATTGAGGTAGGTCAGGTTGTAATAACCCGTTTCTGGAACCTTTTGCCAATAATAATCTTTACAAAGCATTCACAGTGAGGTCTGAAACTGACAAACATATTTGATGTGGTGAAAACGGGGGGGAAAAAAGTGATCATAAAGCAACATGTGGTCTTCTCCAGAGCACCCAGTGGAAAGCCGGTGGTAGAGAGATCACCAAGTCTGGCCTTCACATGCCAGGCCGGGATGCAGTCTTCACCAGCCCCGTCTCTGCAGCCAAACCCAGCAACCCCGTCGGCGCACCGCAGCACAACACCCAGAAAGAGGTTAGAGTTGAACCGCCTGACACCCGACGCTTCTGAAACTCAAAGCTGAGATCCGGCACACTGCGAAACGAACCGTCCGAATTGATGCGTGGCGGACATTTGTGTCAGTTTGGACAATTGTGCTAAACTTTTCTCGTTACTCCCCGCAGCACCCTTCCAGCACGACTCCCCCCATAGACATCGCTCCCTCCAGACTGAAGCTGATGCGCCGCGGTCCGGACCGGAAGAGCGAGTTTCTGCGAACTCTGAAGGATGAAGGCACCGGAGAGCTGACGACCAGCAGCAGTCCGGGAACATCAGGAGAGGTGAGGGGGGCCAGCTCAGACCTACGGGGTCAAGAACTGTCGCTCCTTTCCTTCCTATTTTAAAATTATGCCTGAATTTGTGGTGGTAAAAAGTTTAAAGGATATGAATGACAGTAAGTGGCAGTGTTGGGTGTTGTGCTGCCGCAGGAGTTAACCACAACCCACATGTGGGTTGTGGTTAACTCCGTATGATGGGTTAACCCATCATAAAACAACTGCATCCTTGAAGAAGAAACGATAAAGCCGCTAAATTAAAAGAAGGTCGCTAATTTTCCTTTATCATGCGATTAACTGATTTATTGTTTATCGTGACAGAAAGACCAAGTTTGCAACAATTTATTTATTTTAACTTTAATTTAGCACAATATCAGACGATATGTTTTTTTTTTGTTTGTTGACGTGTTTCTTGACGCGTTTTTGTTTTGTTCTCCTCCTCAGGGTGAGAGCAGCACCCCAGAGCCCAAAGCGTACAGCGAGGAGGTGTGCCACGAGAACGGCCTGTCCTACTCCCTCAGCGACTCGGACACTGAACACCTGTCCAGCTCCCTGGAGGCAGAGCACAGGTGAGGAAAACCGGCCAGCTGGATCTGAGCCGCACAAATTTTGGGCGCAACCAACTAACGTTGGGGATGGGTGCAGGTTGCTGAAGGCCATGGGCTGGCAGGAGTACCCAGAAAACGATGACAACTTCCTCCCTCTGACAGAAGACGAGCTGAGAGAGTTCCAGACTAAAACAGAACAGGTGAGGACTGGGAGAAAAGGAAACGCCGTCAGAAGTTGTTCTGCTTTCCTCATTCGGGGTTCATACCCTGAATCATTTCAAAATGATTGAAATTCAGCTGGGTGTTTTCAAGGTTTGGAAAGTGCTTGATTTCTGTATGAAGTCCTTGAAAGGGCTTAGTATTGAAACTGCATAGTTTTGTAATAAAGTGGAATTTAATGTTGGATTAATACGGGAGCAGAGAGCGGACATTTTACATACATGCTTTTTTCCCCCGACAGACTTCTTGAGGTAATAACTGAATTTGCTGATTTTCCTCAGAGTAACTGGTAATAGCCATACTAAGAAAAAACATGACAATAAAATTATGAGGTTAAACTCCTATTACAAAAATAAACTCAAAAATAATTCAAAAATAAAGTTGTATTACAAGAACAGTCATAATATCATGGAATGAAGTTGTAGCATTATGAAGTTCAGATATTACAACAATAAAATTGTAACAGACTTTTTAATTCTCGTAATGTCATAACTTTATTCTTGTAATATTATTATTCTGTTTTGCTATTTTTATATAAAAAAAATATATTTATATACACATATTTTCTTAGCCCTAATCCTCCATTGTGTATGTAGTGTGGTGCCGGAAAAGTATGAAAACGAACCTTAAAAATGCTTGAATGTTCCTTTAGTGAACCCTGCCCATCGCCTCATGTGTGTTTTTTTTTCGGGGGTGGGGATTTTCGTTCTACCAGCTGAAGAAGAACGGCATGCAGAGAAACGGGGTTCTCCCCAGGACGCGGGGCGTGACCCTCCACTTCACCCCCTGGAGGAGTGTGGCGGAGGCTCACGTGGAGGAGGGCTCCGAGTCCGAAACCAGTAGCAGCAGCCAGACCTCGGACGACGACGACTGCACCAGATCCTAACACGGCTTTACGGAACAACACATCCAACAAAAACAGCCAACACCACATCCCAGCGAGCAGCCCCCCTCCTCCTGTCTCATCTTTTCTTTTTTTAGAGCACCATTTTGAAATTTCTCAATTTTTTTCTTTATATTTTGGTTGTTTTGTTTGTTTGTTTTTTTTTTCGTCGTTCTTGCACAAGGGAAAAACCAATCATATCCCAGTGAAGGGGGAGATTCCTGCTCTGCCAGACGTCGTTTTCCCTGCGTTTCCTCCTTCACTGCAGTCCTTTGACCTCTGACCCTCCTCCTCCCTCCCCTCACCCTCTTCCTGTTTCTTCCTCGCTTTGTTGAACTGAAGTGTTCATCAAGAAAAGAAGGGCAATGAATGCACACTTGATTCTGCTTTAAACAGACTAACTCATTTCATTGATGATGCTGATGACACATTAATAATGATATTAATAAAAATTGGTTCCTGACAAGCTGATATGTTTCACTATGAATCTTGACTACTGTGGTGTTTCATCTCCAAAGCTCTTTACTTTGTTTAGGCCAGTTGTAAAAGAAAAAAAAATGAAACACTGCCTTTTTTTTTGTGAGACAACAGGGTTGTTTTTAGCTCAGCTTTGCAGAATGAAATGTTTTCGCTTTCTTTAATGCCTTTCTACAAAATAAAAGTGCTCCCAAGACACTAGAGCTAATGTTTTCTCTAGGTTGGAAACTTTAGGAAGGATACTGAAATGTACAAAAACAAGTCTGTGATGTTTTATCTGTCATTTTAATGTTGACTGTCTCATTTTATTTTAGGTGATCTTAACTGTAGTTTAGATCAGTTAATCCAGCACTCATTGATCCATCCCAACAGATTAGCATGAGCTAGAAGCCCAAGTCCAATTAAGGCTTTTTCTTTTTTTGCTTTTATTTATTGACCATAATTTGTGTAAGCGATGTAACTTCCCCTGTTTAGCTTTTGTTTCAAGTCTTCTAGCTCCATTTTGTTGCCACTGCAGGGTGAGTCGAGTGCGTATCTGGTGGGATATGTGATAAAAGCAGGGCCCTGCAGTTTTTGATTTATATCGCACGTTCTCTTTTGGCTTTTCTGTGCTGGATGTATTGTAGGCCTGTCAATCGTTCCCCAGCAGCCTGAGCCCAAATATCTAGCAAGTCCTTTTTTTTGTCCCTGATGGGTTCAGCGCAGGCCATAAATCTGAACTCTTAATCCGGGTTTTCTTGGCCCCTTTTAGTTACTCAGGTTGTGTCAATGAAACAAAAAATATTGTTGCAGCAATAGAAAGCTACAATTCACAATAACATGCTACAATTAAGAATTAAAGTTCTTTCGACCTGTTTGTGTTTAGCATGCAGGTGTCATGTCTGGTCTCTGGTTCAACACACCTGACTGAGTCAGATCACTGGCAAGAAAGTTCTTCCAACAGTCTTTATTAACTTTACAGGTTACAAAAAGGTTCACAAAACATATTTACAGCAGCAGCAGCAACACGGTGTGAGCGCCGTCCAGGAGAATGAACCGGTCCGGCTTCACCCACGTAAAACACAAGTGAGGAGGCTCCAGGTTCTGAGGTCGAGCTCTTTATGCAGCCAGACCTGAACACCGGAGTTCTGAGATGCAGAGCTGAGTGTGCTTCATGTTGGTGGACAGTGAGCATCAAGGAGGGTGGAAGGAGACCTAAAACAATGTCACTTTGCCACCTCCATGTTTCCGGCAGAATCTCCGTTGGTTTTATGGATCCCGTTGGTCTGGGGCTCCTGGTCGTCCTGCTTCAGCCTCTTCACTTCAGCTTCCTTTACTGGACTTTCTGGTTTCCTCTGAAAGGAAGCAAAGAAAAAAAAATAGGCCACCATAGCACAGGGCATTCTGGGTAAATACAACAAAAACAAGTCTAGCGCGAATGGGATGAATGGCTGTTGGTCTTTTACCAGAGACAAAAGACCAACAAGTGGTGAATTTTGACACCACTTCATTTGTTTAAAGTTTGTTAAACACCAAGTTGCGTTCGGTGTCTTCAGGGATTTTCTGTGTCGTTTCCTTCAGGTGTTCTTGGTGCATTTGACACAGTGCAGTTTGAAAGAGAACACCAGTGGAAAAAAAATGAACAAACATTGCAATTTTGGTCCCCAAACAAACCAGATGAAGAGATCCATTGGTCACAGACCCTGGATCTCTTCAGTTGAATTTGCACTATTCCTTGAAGTAACCCAGAATTCCTGTTCTAGTCCCATCTGAACTTTTGGATAGAATTCCTTTAAGAGAAGGTGAGATCCTCAACCTACACCAGGGTCACGGTCAAATGTCTGGGCGCTTACCTTCTTTCTGACCAGGTGGGAGATATCAGAGACTGGGACTGTGGAGGGATGTTCACTGCTGCTGCTGTTGGTGCTTTGAAGCTAGTTAGAAAAAAATGAGATGAAAAGCCATTAGGAAAAACCACGTTCTGGTGGTTAGAGACAACAAAAACCTTTGACTTTGCTTCTGACAGATGAGAAATGAAACAGAACTAGTTCCAGTTAAAGTTAGATCCAAACACTCTCCTTGCTGGTCATCTAGGGGACATTCCCCAATGTTTGAACGATGGGGGAGAGTTTCAGTCCTTTCAGGAGCCTCCTCTGTATTTTGTTTGGGTTTTGGATGCCTGTCCTACGTCAGACCTTTTCACAATGTCAGGAAGTGAGTGTTTGAGAAATCAGATGCTTCAAATATCTCGTTTCCAGCTTCCCAGTGTGAATGCTTCCTCCGTGTAATCCCTGTTCTTTCAGGAGCAGACTTACTGCTGGACTGGACGAAGAGTCAGCAGGGCTGATGGTAGATTCAGGCAAAGCAGAGGAACTGGAGGCTCCGTCCTGCAGGTGGGGACAAAGCAAACAAAGAACTCGGAACAGGAACTGTGGAAAAACCCAGAATGAGCAGTTTGTTCATTCCCAGCTCACCTGATCCGCCTCAGCGCTGCTCTTCATCCCTTCATTAGCGTCATCCACCTTCTCCTGAATCTCTGGCAGCAGAGCCTTCAGCTCCTCCATCTCTTTCCTCTCCTCTTCCAGAGCTTCTGGACTCTCGGCTTTGTCCATCATCTCCTGCAGGTTCCCTGGAAGGTCAACAACGTCAGACTAAAAGTTCTGCTCTCCACGTGGCATTCTGCTGTGGTGCCGGGCGCCTCACCCAGCCTGTTCTTGATGACCGAGATGGAGTCATTCAGGGCCTGGACTGCCGGGGCGTACTGGAGGTTCAGGCTGTGGGTGACCCCCAGCTGGTAGTGGGTCTCTGCCAGCAGGCGGCTATCCGGGTCCAGGTGCTTCAGCTGGAGCTTCAGACACTCCTGGAAGTCCTCGAGTGCCTGGTTGTAATTTCCTGACATGAAGAATAAATATGAGCAACAATATTACAAATCGTCATCCAAGAACAAACGTCTTAAAGAGAGTCTTTTCGCTAAGCTCTGTACCCGACTCGGCAGAAACCTCTCCCAGCTTCAGGTGGGTCTGCGCCGCCATCAGCTGGTCGTCCTTCCCCTCCTTCCTGAGTCAAACGGAAACATGAGGTCAGATCCGGGCAGTGGTCCGGATCCTGCAGGCGTCGATGCGGCTCTACCTTCTGTAGATCACTTTAGCCACTTCCAGCATCTCCCAGGCCAGCTGCAGGTTCCCCACCTCCTCATCTTCACTGTCCTGGAGGAAGGTCACGGCACCGTGAGCCGACGTCACGCGTTCCGACTGAAGGCGAGTGTGCGGTCAGTACCTTGTCAGCAGTGGGCTCCCCTTCGCCGAGCTCCTCCACTTCGGCCTCCGTCTCTTCGTCGTCCTCGTCTTCGTCGCCTGCAGAGGGAAGCTGTGGTTATGGGCGCCAAGCTGAACCACTCGTTTCTCTTGCGAGTAAAATTGCACAAATCGGAATTGTGGGAATAAATTTGCTTTGTTGAAACACCATTTTTTTGTGCGAGTTACATGATCGATTACTGGATGTTACTACTGCTGGAATTGAAGAAGATGACAGGAAGTGACCTGGCGTGTTTAACGTCTTATCACAACAAGCAGGTACTGATGCTTTACTGTAGAAATTAAACTATGAGCAATTAATTTGGCCAATTAATTGAATTTCTGATTTTTGAAGATTTAATTTTTGGAAAAAGAAAAAAAATAAAATAAAGTCACAATTTTGTTTTTTCCCTTCCCAACTATTGACACCTCAGGGCTTCCGTAGGTCAGAGTGACGTCGCCATGCCAAAAGCGTGTTTCACAGCTAATCAAACACGCTGTCTGATTAGTGTGTTTTACAGCTATTTATTTTTACAGAGTTTGAATTCAGAACAGCTCTCAGGGTTAGGCAAAGATTTTTTTCATTTTTAATTACGAGAATAAAGTCAGAATATTACAAGAATTCAGACATATTAGGAGAAAAGAGTAGTAATTTTCTAAGAACTAAAAAATATATATATAAAAAATTCTCAGAATTCTAAGTCATTCTTTCGATAAATTGCATCCCTTTTCTGCTAATATTGACATCTGCCAAGTTTTGTGCCTATTAGTAACAGAAACATCTCTACAGTCTGGATAAATCGGACATTTACCTCCAGCTTCTTCTGGCTTATCTGTAGATTCTTCCTGTTCAGCAGCTGCTTCAGATTCTCCCTCCTGCTCCTCAGCAGGCGACTCATCCTTGCTGTCCTCCTCCTGCTGCTGCTCCGCTGTGGCCTCCGAGCCTTCAGGCTTGCTCTCCTCCGTCGCCTCGCTCTGCTTCTCAGAGTCGTCGGTTTTCTTCTCCGCCATGGCGTCGTACACCTGAACCCTCAGTTCGTCTCTGGACTTTTCTGACAACGCGACAGATGAGTGTTCAAAGCCAGCTCCCAGTGGGATTTCAAGAGGTTAGCGCCGCCCCCTTACCATCAACGTTCTCGACGCTCTCAACGTTGGAGTCTTTGGGCTTTTCCTCACCTTCCTCCTCCTCCTCCTCCTCAGGGACGCCTTCCAGAGCGTTCCCCAGGACAGAGTTCTCCATCCTGTAATCACATCCCGCCGTCAAGTGGCGCCTTAATGAATCGCTGCCACAGTTAAAGCGAGTTGAATGTTTTTGAACCCACCGTGCCAAATCCAGCAGAGCTTTCCCACACCAGTAGAACGCCTCCCCGCACTCATCCGCCGTATCTCCGTACTTCTTAGCTCTGAAATTATTATTTTTTTCTCCCGTCAATATTATCACCAAGTTACACATCAGCCATCTGATTAATTGCAGCAAAATATTCTGTTTCAAAATGTACTTCTGCAAGACATTTGGAGGAGGAAAAAAAAATTTGGCCCCTTTACTAAATACATTTTATTTTACCAGACAAAATTAAATAGAAAACAGAAGATCTGAACATTTTTAAGAAAAATGCATGTTCTTTTGTACAACGGCCATACGTGAAAAGTGACCAGATGGAGATATTACACAGAATGGACTTTTTTGTTTTTATTTTGTACAGGCAGTGAGTCGGTCCTCTATTCTGCCATACATTGGCTCCTGTAGAACACAGAAAATAAATAAAATATTTGGCTTTTGGCTTGCACATTCAGCTCCAGTTCTCAGTGCGGTTATCATTTCAATGATTGTGTTTTCCTGGTGACAAAATGGGACCGGTTTGTTAGACACATAGCATTGAGACTGAAGATGCAGTAAATGGGTGGACTTAGTAAAAAAAAAAAAAAAAAAAAAAAAAAAAAAAAAAAAAAAAACTTCACTCACTCAGGGTTTCTACAAGCTTTTGCTCCAAGCATTTCAAAGCTCAGTTGTTTGTCCCTTTGAATGGCAGTTTTGAAGGTAAATTGAAAAGATCTGAATAAATTTAAAGTCGACTTTTTTGTTGTTGTTGCTGCTGATGAGGTCAGACCTCGACACTCTCTCGCCTTAACGCCTAAGAGACGGTGAGGAAAAGGTGGCCAAATTGGGACCAAACATTTTCTCTGAGAACATTTAGAAGTGACAATTTCCACTGTGACATGCGGTTAAAAGCAACCGGTGAAAGCTAAGTAAACGCGGACAACTCGGTCTGGGCCTCATGAACTTATTTCTGTTATTGGGATAACGCAGGAAACTGGCACAAAGCAGAGGATGCTCAACTCCAGAGTTTTAGACAGCCAAAAATATTGCCTGTTAGAAATAAATAAATAAACAAATAAATAAATAAATACACAGACAATTTTTTTTTCCCGAGATACAAAATGAAGAAACTATAAGCAGCATTTCTAAAGATATAAATAAGATACTAATTGAGAGTCCGTTTGTCTGGACTCACAGTATCCTGCAGGCCTCCTGCAGGGCGCCCACTGCCTCCACCACCTTTCCGGTCACCAGGTGCTTCTTGCCGGTCCCGACGAGCTTGTTGGCCTCCTCCATTTTGGCTTCACTGGACAGAGAAACATATATATATATATATATATATATATATATATATATATATATATAGACAGAGAGAACTTTCTTACAGTAAAATAATAAGTTGCATACTTACGCTGGTAAGCTTAAAAACGATTTTGAAAAGTGCTAAGAAACAGCAGACCCTGCGGAGGAGAACCGCTGGCAGTGAAGGGTTCAGGAGACGTGACGTGTGGTCTCTCCTCGCGTGCGCCGCTGAGCTGCTCCGTTGTTTCAATTTGGCGCGAAATGGACCCGCTCCTTCCGGAGTCGCAGACAAACGCGGGAGAATTCTTAAAGGCGCAGACACATTTGCTCTGAAACACAGCGTGTTGCGTTTCAATTCTTTTTCATTGACCTATTGATCAAAAGGAAACTCTTTTATATGTTTCATTTAATCTGAAACGGCGATGTTCACAGATTAGTCTTGTAAGAATTTCTTGAAATACAAGAAAGAGTGTAAAACGATTGAAGTTTAAGGGCAAAATTGGGGGTGAAATGCCAAATGCACCACAAAGTAAATACTGTTGGTCACCAAATACAAATAGGGACCAGTGATTAGTTCTGATATAGATTATTACGCGAACGAACAAAAGAGGAAGCGGTGCAGCATCTGCTGTGTATATCTGTGCTGCCGCTGGACTATTAGCAGGTGCCTGTTTGTGTTTCTGCTCTGCATGTTGTTGTCGTGTCCTGCTGTGACTGACAGCCCCCCTCTGAGTTCCTCCTGCTGACTTTCTTAATTTCCACCTTGTCAGGACAAGTCTCAGTCAGCCTTTCACTCATCAGTCTGTCCTCTCCAGGGACAAAGATATACAATATTGCACTTCTGGACATATTGTGAAATAATCCATCCATTTGTTTTCTATCCCCATGTGATACTTTTAAAGGTCGCGGGGTCACCGGTGCGTCTCTCCAGTTTGCCGTGCCATGGGCATGATACAACTTGGACAAGTCACCAGTCCCATCACAGGGAAACACAGACATGCCTGACAATAAAGAATCATTTGTTTTTAAGTTGTTATTTTGATTTAGAAATTTAAAAGAGCCAAATTGTTTTCGGACTGTGACAGAAAACGGGAGTACCCAGAGAGTACCTACTGGAGTCACAGAGAGAACATTCAAACCCAAGACCATTGTGAAGTCACATTTTTTTAAAGCCACATTTGATAGAATTTGTCTAACAATTGAAGGTAACATATGAACTTGATTGTTCTATGAAATGGCCTTGGAAATACATGATACTGGCCCTTTAAAAGATGCTGTTTTGTTGGTTACATTTCTTCGTAAAAAAATGAACATTTAATAGTGTTCTGAGTTTTATATGGCTGCAAATCTTTAGTCGATGTAGAATAACACGTCACATCTACACAGCAGTGATATCACTGTGTTTACATCTGGTGGAAGAGACTCGTTACATTTTGAGCAGTTTCACAGCCCCCCGTCGAATCTCTGATGCAACTTTGTTGTTATTCCTCAGGGTTCATTGAAACCAAGACAATGGGCACCTGAGGGGCCCTTCAAACATCCAGCAGCTTCAGAATCAGCCGTTGAGCGTATTCACTAATTACGGGGATATTGAGAGATGAGAGATGAACACAGGACGGTGTTTGATCCTGAGCCTACAACAGAGGTTATTATGTGTCCCCCCACCTCCCGTCCCTCTTGTCTGGCCCTTGATGAAATGTCTCCTATGGCAACGGTGTGCAAATACAATCGGTGACAAGAGATGATGGAGGAAGGTGAGGGGGCTGCTTAAGCTTTGAGAAACTCGTGCTTCCTTAGGTAAAATAGACTGATATGAGTCAAGACTGCAAAAAAACAACTTTGTTTGGAATTGCTGCTTTAAAAAAAAATGTTTTCTTCCTCTTCAGGTGTAATTAAGTTCCTTAAGCCTTAACATCAGTCCAGTGCCAAGAAGAAAGCCGTCAATGAAAGGTCACAAGGTGAGGTTTGGCACAAGTAATGTAGGAGGACAGAACAAACATGCAGAAAAATGTAAATAGTTCCTCTATGTAACGCATTACAGCTACATGCTATTAAATCACGAGAGATTATGTAAAATACAGTGCATTATGCAATGCCTCTGAGGTTCCACTTTTGTTATCCTGTTAGACAGAATATTGATTGAGAACCATAGCTCTCAAACACGCGTCAGCAGGACTTTTGCGCACGATTTCATCCAGGCTTTTATGAAATCCACACCTATTCAACGGACAGTTCAAAACCAGATTGACGTCTTACTGAGCCAAATAATCAAATTGATGCGACACATGTCATAACCAGACAGCCAGTTGTGAGTTCAACTTCCGTTTTCACCAACCACCAGAAACTGCCTCCATTGTGAAAAGTGTGCAGACAGAGATGTGTGGCGTCCCTCCGCTTTACTCACTGAGTAAACAAAGCAGCGGCATGTGAAGAGGAAACGAGAGAGAAAAATCCCTTTTGAAGCGAACCGATCATAGGAACACAATGTCTCAACACGAGTCTAAAGAAAGGAGGAGGTTTCATCTAAGTAATTTTTTTTCATGTTTAACAACTGGAGCAGACTCTACGGATTAAACGTTGAACTTTGACTCTTCCAAACACATATTTCATGTTGCTGTTGCCTATGTAATGTAGCCTAAAATGTACAATATGATAATGGGCAATAATGGTTTTGCGTGTGACAATTAGTTAACTAATAGGGAATCGGGTTGCCTGTTTTGACGCAAAACTAACTCCGTAGTCTATTTTACGTTTAACTTCCGTCTTCCTTTTTCAACAATTTTAATTGAAGAATCATGTGCCACACAAAATGAAAATGTCTCTCTTAAACATGCGAACCCCATAATTCTCTTTTTCTCAATTTAAGAGGTGATACTTGAAAAAGGGACTTAAAAAATTAAACGCAATTTACATATAGGACAGTAAGCAAAAAACAAAACAACAAAACAAAAACAGTATTTTTTAGTATTATAAAAATATCTGGAATTAGTCATGGGTCAATCCACAGTGCACCTGGACTAGAGCTTGTGAAGCAGCTCCACAGCATGACGCTACCAACGTCATGCTTGACAGTTACGGCGCTTGTAGGTTCTTAGGCCTTACTTTGACAGGCCTAAAAATACTCTGTATTAAATAGCTTAGTTTTTGTCTCACATAAAACATGGCTGCTTTGTGAACTCAAACAATCCCTTCTGTGTGAAGTGCAGATTTTGAAGGCGACTCAATGAAAGAAGATGCCATGAATTACAGATTCTTCTTATTGCTTGTTCATGGTGATAAGGGTGGAATTGGGTTGAGTCACATGCCAACCAAGCTCTTGACTCAAAGACCCTTTCCTGGTTTCTCTGCGGAACAATGAACCTCGATAAAAATACGTCTTATGTTTTGGGTAAATAATATGTCATGTCAATAAAAATATTTTCGAAAGTGACGCGTAAGAACGGACAAATTGCACAAAGCGGTTATAAAACACTTCTTCTGAAGGTTTCCTTGACGTTTTCCTTCGAGCAACTTACATTCCTAGAGAGGGGGAGGCGTGGAAAGTGCAAAGTCATGCTACATCGTGGCATGGTCAGGACTGGAGAAGTGAACCGAGGGGACGCGTCGCGTTATTTGGTGAAAGTATCGCGAGATTCTGGCGAAGATATATAAATCCAGTCGACACAGTCAGCGGTTGCACTCGGTACGGCTTTGGAAGCGAGGTGAAATATTACGAAAGGTAGGTGTTTAAAAAAAAAAGAAGAAGAAAAAAGAAAATGACAACTTTTTCCTACTTTGTAGTAGTTATTTTTTGTTTGTTTTAAGCCTCCAATTTGCGGGGCTTAAAGGTCAGAGTTCTCATTCGTGTTTTTGAAGAATTCAACAAGTGTTTTTTCTTCTTCTTCTTTTAATCACAAAACGGGTCGTCTGTAAATCCAGTGACCAGAGTTAGCTTAATAAGTATTTTCTGTCCTACATTGACGGATTTATCTGAAATCAGTTTTTTTCTAGTCATTTTTGAATGTACTTCCGTCAACCAGGTAAATTCAGACAAATCGGTTCGTAAAGAGTCATTTTTCATAAGCGCCACGCGCTCGTCGAAGAAAACACGATGGGGGAAAAAAATCGTGTTTTTCCCCCATCGGGATAAATGCAAAATAAGTTTGCATTTATCCATATGCGGAAACACCTGTGAGACAAGAGAAGTGGTCATGGGTTATGTTTCGAAAGCTCCCAGCTGACTGCTGCCGTCTGTGCTGAGTGCATAGAATAATCAGAGTTATTTATTTTAAGATAAATTATGCACGGTTTCCTTGTCTGGGGCATTTAGCTCTCAGTGAGTGATCCAGATTTGTTGCTCAGCAACATGATTACGTCAACGTGCGTTTGGATTTCTCAAATCTCATCAAATTTAATGCAAATTCAAAATTACTTTATTAACCCCAAAGGGAAATGTAATATCGTCCCTAAAGTCAGGTGTGAGAATTGCTGACAGAAAACTAATTTCTTCTTAAAATCTGGAGTTTAAGTCAGTTATTTTTGCACGTGTTGAAGAAATAGGGAGTATGAAACAGCATGTGTGGCTTTGGATTAACAGCATTTTCTCCCCCTATACTTTACAGACTGTGTCTCACCTCAGTAAAAAAAAATCTGGTAAGCTTTTGTTTATAGTTGAAAATGAGCAAAAAAAATCTTTGAATCCTATTTCAAAAATGTTTTGAAAAAAAAAAATACTAGAGTACTTGAGAACTCGGCTCATTTTTCATCTGGATCTGTAAACATTAAACATTGTAAACATTACTGTAGACATGTGAACGATTTCACAGATTTATACACAAAACATTTTTTTATTGCATGAGTTGAGCATTTGGGCTGATATTTATATTAGACATATCTTTTATAAAATAAACAATGGGCAGCTGTAAGTTTTCAGACAGGATGTGTGTGACACTCGGCCATTTCCTTCTCAGTCTCACTGAAGATGGCTGCAGGCAACGCAAAGATTGGAAAACTGGCTCCGGACTTCTTGGCTAAAGCGGTGATGCCGGATGGACAGTTCAAGGACTTGAAGCTGTCAGATTATAGAGGTAAGACCTTTCCTTCGCTGCAGGAAGTGTTTTTTTTTTTTTAACCTATTAAGGTCTGAATTTGTCCCCACCCCGTCCCCTTTGAGGTACAAAAATAATCCCTTCGTCTTATTTCCTCTCTGCACAGGAAAGTATGTCGTCTTCTTCTTTTATCCTCTGGACTTCACGTTCGTGTGTCCCACCGAGATCATCGCTTTTAGCGATGCCGCTGAGGAGTTCAGGACGATTGGCTGCGAAGTCATCGCTGCCTCCGTGGACTCTCACTTCTCTCATTTTGCATGGTATTTGGCAATCCTTTGTTGTTTTTGCATTCTCAACGACTGTATAGTGCTTCAAAATGCTGCCATTTCCTGTTTTGTGGTCTTCAAGGACAAACACACCACGTAAACAGGGCGGTCTGGGCGCAATGAAGATCCCACTTGTGTCTGACACGCGGCGCACCATCTCCACAGACTACGGTGTCCTGAAGGAGGACGAAGGCATTGCCTACAGGTGGGGTGGATGTTGGGTTTTGCCCTCTGGTCTATGCACCAATTTTAAAATGCTTTCCGATTGCTAAAGGTCACAATAGACTTCCCAGCTTTCATCTGCATTACTTTTGACTGATTTTGATTGAACCTGATGTAGCGTTTGTTGTGAATTGATCCTAAAATCCATAAGATTCATATAAATTTCCTGTATTCTAGGGGTCTGTTCATCATTGATGACAAGGGCATCCTGAGGCAAATCACAATCAACGACCTCCCAGTTGGACGCTCTGTTGAGGAAACCTTGCGTTTGGTTCAAGCGTTTCAGTTCACAGACAAACATGGAGAAGGTTTGTGTGCTGCTTCTGTTTTTGACACTTTCTTTTGAAATTGTACAGGCTTCCTTTTCTGGAACCTCTTATCTTTAATCCATGCGCCTGGGCTCATTACTTGTTTATCTCTTCAGTCTGTCCAGCTGGCTGGAAACCAGGAAGTGACACCATCAAGCCAGATGTGCAGAAAAGCAAAGATTTCTTCTCCAAGCAGTGATAAACTCAAGACCAGAGTCTGCCGCCTGCTCTAGCAAGATTTCATTATGCGATAGCATGTCCACTAATGTTTTGAGTCGGAGCTATGTTGTCATCATACAGTGTGTTTGAATTATGTCTGTGTAAACTGTGGCTCTGGGACCAAAGGACAGTAATTATGTTGTGGTAGCGGTTTTATACGGTAGTCAGTTTTTGACCAGTAACTGAGCAGTCGATCATTAGTGGTACATGCATAGGAGCTCACAAACGTTTTCAATGGAGCAAAGGCTGTGCTCAAAATGTTTTTGTTTTTTTTCTATACTCTGAACAAAATAATACTTTCACCTCAATAAATTATGCGTTTGACTTAAATGGTGTTGTTTTCATGTTTGCCAACAAAACGGTGCTAAAATGTCTGAAAACCCTCAAATTGAAAAAGAATTGTAGAATTAAGTAGATGTTTGAATTTTCTCTATATACAATAATTTGGAGTGATGAATCAAAAGCAATTGTATATGAAATTTATATGTTTTTGGTAAATGGTACCAAGAAATGTTGACTTAATCCATTCAAGACTTTCATCAGGACATTGTCTTGAAACAATGCAGGTTCAAATTTGACAGTAAAAAGAAAATATTCATCTATTATTTTTGCTTTATGTTTGGTTTTTTGTTTTTAATTATTTGAAAATAAAATCTTTAAAATTATTTGTAAAAAATTATATTCGTTATGACGGTAAATGTGAATTTGTGACCCATTTTATCACGCGGCGTCTTTTTTGCGTCTCGCGCGGGAAAACCGTTCATTGGTTAAAGCTTAAAATTTACTGGAGGAGCTGCGGGCTCTTGTTGCCCAGAGTCCTAACTTATTTACAAAATATCGTCTGAGAGAGTACTCAAAACTCGAGAACTTCGAAAGGAGAAAAACATCGTCTTTTTGGACACATTTAATTTTTTTTTTAGCTTACTCGGCGTCCTCCCTAGCTAATTAAACCGTTGGAAGTGACTCGGCTAACTACGGTTGGACGCAAGAAAGAAGGAAGGGGACAAAATGGCGTCTGGGAAAATGCGCCTGAGAGGAAACAAGGAGGAAACCGCTGAGGTTTGGAAACGACACGCTCCACAAAAGCTAACGCCGAAAAGACGTCTTTGTTCATGAGATTAAGAACAAACCCATTATTAGCTTGTCGAGGTTCACTTCGATAAACGGGAACACGAATTTCTATACTATCTACGTTCAGTAGACGCAGAAATATGCATTCAAGCCCTTTTGCAGTTTCTCAGAAAGCAAATAAATAAAATAAAATCGAAGCTAAAGGGCAAATGCGCGTAATTTTTCACTACCTTAAGCGTCTTTAATCTGCTGCACTTTAAAAACTACAATTACCAAGACTCTTTACACCTGCATCAGATTATTTTACACCAAAAGCGGAATATTTAATATGTTTAATACCTAGTTTGTTTAATACCTAGTTTTATTTCGGCAATTCTAACTGACCTGAAAGAGAAGCTTGGTCTGATTTCACTTGAGGGAAAAATAATAAAAAGTTTGATTTTCACTTTTAGAACATAAGTATTAAAATCTGTGATTTTTGTTACTGATATTCTAATTTGCTGAGATGCACCTGTTGTTTTATCTCCACGGCTTTTTTTCCCCCTTCACTTTTCAAGTGGACCGGATTATTCATCAATGACTTAAAAACCAAACAAGAGTCTCTGGTCTTTGTCAAGAGGATGATGGCCATCGCAGTCTCTTCCGTCACCTACCTGAGAGGGATTTTTCCAGAGTGCGCCTACAGATCCAGGTATCTTGAAGGTGAGCAAGACACAGTGCAGAAAATTGCAGAAAGTCCCCCCATAAGATGCATTCTTTAGGGACTCCCTGCAATGACCTTAAATCATAACGTGATGGAACTTGTTGGAAACAAATGTTTTGATGTGTTATACTCTAAGAATCAATGCCTGTGTTGCTAGATTTGTGCATCAAGGTGTTGCGTGAGAACAGCAACAACCCTGGCGCCAACAAAGTTGTGAAATGGTAAATTTCGTTTTGAATAGGCAGATCTGAAAGAAAGCTGTCGTTATCCCTCCCAGTGATACATTACATTTTTGTCCTTGCGTATGGTTTCTTTAGGATGATGGGCTGTTTTGATGCATTAGAGAAACAGTATGTAAGTCACATCCTCTGTTGCCTTTAGAATTAAAACAGCCAATTTCTTCCCCATTTAAAAAAAAAACTATTGTTCCATGTTTTTCTAAAACAGCTCCAGATTATATGCATTGGGGTGAGTACCTTGTAATTACTGAAGCAATATGTAGATTTGATGTGTTGGCATAAAATGTTAACAGTTTCCAATTTTGTTTGGCGGGGGGCAAAATCTAGGTTTACACTGATCCAGAGGACCGAAATGTAAGTTGTATAACACACTTAATAATGTGACGTGTCAATCAAAAACATTAGGTTTGTATTCTTTAACTTGGAGTGCATCATCGAGTCGTACCAGTTCAACTTCAGATACACTGAAAAGGGACCAGAAATGGACATAGTCAGGTGGGTTTGGATTTCCTTTTGTAGTAAACAAATAAACACGCGCCGTTTATGAGCCGACTGCAGTAGAAGGTTGGTAAATCCTTCATGAAACCTCAGGAACAAGGCGATGGGGATGCAGGTGGGACTGGAGGACACCAAGAGAGCCTCTGTGCTGCTCATCAGGAAGCTCTTCCTGCTTCTGCAGAACCTGGACGCCCTCCCGAGCAACGTCTACCTCACCATGAAACTCTACTACTACGATGACAGTAAGACGCCAAACCGTTTCAGTGTGATTAACTCCTTGAGCAGCATGCTGCTGAAGACATGAAGAAATAGCAGCTGCCTTTTGCGTAAACCACGGGTCTTCACCCTGCGGTTCTGGAGCTGCAAATGGCTCTTTGGACCTTCAACAATGGCTCTTAGTAACTTTGGCTACACGCGAGAAAGAATTGACTTTTTATTTGTTTGTTTTGTCTTTTTTTAAACCGGGCCGTAATAATAATGCGGTTTTCCAATAAAATAATCTCACTGAGTTTCCACAACAGAATGACACTAAAGGTACGTGTAATACTTTTTTTCGATCAAATTTTTTTGTCAATATGTTGGAGCCTGTAAGCTATCGGACATAATTTTCCATGAGTATCAACAGCCATAAAGGAAAAATTTTTAAACCTAAAAGTAGAAAAAAAAATCTGGTTCTTTAAAAGTTTTAAGTTTTTCTTTTTTGTAGGGATGCACCATTTATGGTCATCAATATGGCAGGGTTTTCTCTGTGTAATTGATCGCGGCGCACTGCAACAGCAAAATAAAAGCCACCACGCCTTTGGATTGAAGCTTTTTATATAGATATTTGTGCTATGTAGCTATGTAAAACATAAGATGGCTACTGCGCGCTGAGCTGCTCTCAAGAGTTAAGTAAAGCTAGACACTACAGTTACAGGTAGAGGGAGAGTTTTGTAGTTTTGCAGTTTTACAAAATAACACCTGGAAAGCAGGCCATAAAGCAACTCTTAATTTCTGTTACTTTGACCACTTTAACTTTCTGAGCACAACCCAAGCACACCAGGAGATGAAGTTATTCGCTTTCTGACTTAATTTGCTCTGCTTCTAAAGTTACCCCTGCAGATTATCAACCACCAGGCTTCAAGGAGGGGGTGCAGGACCGGCTGTGGTTTCAAGGGGTTCCAGTGCACTTCAAAGTGGGCCAAGTGCACACATCCTACCACTCCCTGAGGGTCCGGGTGTCTGTGGAGCAAGGCCAGGTGAAAAAATTGCAGGAAGGAAACTATCTGAAGGAACCTGGGCGGATTTCCCCAAGGAAAGAGGCGATCAAGGTGGGTTTAGACCGGAGACTCCGCTAGTCTGTCATTCATTATTTACCTCCTGTCATTTTTCTCAAAGAACTAAGTCAACTTTTTAAATTTTTATTTGGGTTCCAATAATTTTTTTGTTGCTGTTTTTACATAATCCCGTTCAGAGAAAAGACAACCAAGATCTTCCTTCTGAGGACGGTAGGGGCTTTTGTCAATTTTCTTGTATTTCTGACGTTTTTTTGAACGTTCTAAAGTAAAGTGTGCCAACTTTACCTTAAACAGAGTCTGCACAGTTCAAGAAACCCAGAAGGCCACTGACTAAGGTACAACATGACTGGCAGAAATACATGTGGAAGCTTCAGAAGCAAAACCTAATATGCAGAGCTTCACTTGAATCATGATTAAACCTATGACTTTATAAAAAAAATGTTATAAATTTGTTAACACTGTCAGCATGTCGAGTCTTCTAATCTGTGAAAAGACCGGTCTCCTCCATGAGCTGCTATTTTAATGTCAAAAACAACCTTGAGCAATCAGAGCCAGGAGGAGGGGCTTAACACTGTCAATCATCCTCATGTACTTACTGCTCAATGTGTTAATGATGGAGAAGCAACTTACCCTCTCAGGAAAACCAGAGTAGGTGGGGGAGTGATCAGTGATGTGCAAGCCCCGCCTCCTGGCTTTGATTGGTTGTTTCTGGGCAACAGTGGGAGAAAGTGGAGGAGCTTGATTTTCTTTTTTCAGATTATTTATTTTATAGCATACTGTCACGACAGTGAGTTTTTACAAAACTGTACAAAAAAACAAAAAACATTCATAAACGTTGTATACTGCAGCTGTAAGGTGTAAAACTTTTGTATTTTCTTTTTGTCTGTCAGAAGAAAGCTGCTCCGAAATCTATGGCGAGGAAGAAGAGGAGAAATTAGGCCAGGAGACCAGCACAGCGTTACCAGTTTATTAGTGTGATATTTACAAACATTGTTCAGATTACAGTCTGCTGCATATGAAGGAAACAAACAGTAAGGCCAATTTAATTTATATGAATTTTTTTTAAAGGCAGTTTATTACATAGAAGTTAGTAATGTGTTTATTTTCTTCTGATTAGAGTTGGTAAAAAAAAAACAGACTTGATTGTAAAGAATTTCTGTTTCATTGTACGAGTCTGTAAAATGTATTATTTATTCAGCTGGTGCTGCAAACGTGTAAATCTTGAAGATGGATATAAAACGACATGATTCTCATCAATCAAGGCTTGTTTGTTTGAATTAATATTTGATATTTTTTCTCCTTCTTGAGTGATGGCAGATGTTCCGGTTCGGTTCAATCCTCTCGACCTCCTCCGATCTCTGGCTCAGGTTGCTTCCTCTGGTCGGGTCTCTAAAACAGGCTGTCCACGTCTCCCATCTCCACAAACACGGTCTTCAGCTGGGAGTAGAACTCCACGGTCACCTGGCCGTTCTCCCGCCCGATACCTGGCGGATGTAAGGGTATGAAAAGCTGAGAATGGGGACGAACACAAGACTTTACAGGGTTAGGGCCACTGAAAGAAACAAAGAGGAACAATCATGACTCTAATTTCAGAATTGTGATAACAAAAGGTCAGAATAGTAATTAGTCAGAGGAGGATTAGTGGCTCTAATTATCCTCCATAGGACTTAAAAAGTGCTGATTTTGCTTGAGATTTCACTTTTGTCAAGTTGCAAACAAATTTTTATGTGGTAGACTAACAAACTACATAATGAAGATGTGTGTATTAAAAGATGATTGTACAAAGTAATCACTGGATACAAATAAAAACCGCATTTCACAGCTTTTTGTTTGGAAAAGCTGTTCAAAACTGTTTGTTTTACACTGCAACATTAAAAACTCTTAGTAAGATTGTTAGTCTAGTTTCAAGGGCAGATATCTCAGTTCACTTGAAATGAAACTAACTTGCAAATAACTTTGGAAAGGAGTTTGTTTTAAGACAATAATTCCTTAATATTGATGTCAAAGTATTTAAATAAAAATGTCAGTGGCCCAAGACATTTTAACTTAAAACATGAAAAAAAAGTTTTATTTTATCATGGCATTTTATTTCACTTATAACAAATACTTTTTCATCAATGTTAAGGAATTATTGACATAAGACAAGCTCCTTTGTCTTTGAAACGTTACTTGTAAGTTAGCGCGCTTCAAAGAAGAAAAAACTGGGATATTTGCACTAGAAACTAAACCAAACTTACATGGGTCAGATATTCTGTTTTTGCAGTGTGTAATTGCCCCTTTTGCACATTTTGACTTTCAGACCAAACCGGTGATTAATCGCTATAAGGAAGACGTAGAAAGATGAAACAATGTTGTAGTTTGTACATGACGTTGACTGCACCTGACATTTTGTAGCCTCCGAATGGAACCTCCACAGGAGTGATGTTGTAGTTATTGATGAAACAGGAACCAGCCTTGAGCTGTTCCACCACACGATGGGCTCGGGTCACATCCCTGGGTCAGGCAACACAGGCACGATAAAAAATAAAAAAAAAAGTTTACGCGTCCAAAACGACACCAACAGAAACCGAAACGGTGGCTATGCAACGTCGGTTTTCTTGATATTTCTCTGTTTTGTTTTTGTGTATATTTACATTTATTTCTGTTATTGCACACCGACCTTGTAAAGACGCCTGCAGCCAGACCCAGTGTTGTGTTGTTGGCTCTCTGCAGAACCTCCTGTTCTGTTTCAAAGGACAGCACAGACATGACAGGACCGAAGATTTCATCTCTCACACACGTCATGTCGTCTGTGCAGTCGCCTGTGGGAAGGTAGAGGATGGTAAACAACTTTATTTAGACAATTCCTATAAAATCTGGTAATCTAATTACTTTTTATGATAATACAATCAAAGCCTAAACACAATATAAAAGGACTTTATGTTTTGTTAAAACTGGGGTATGTAACTTACAAAAAGTATACTTTTTTCATATTTGTTAAAACTGTCACTATTGTCATGTAATATGAGACAGATAATTGTGAAAAAAATTAAGTTCCTGTGCTAACAAAAGAAATAAACAGAAACAAAAAACTCCGAGCCATGTCTGTCATGTCTCCGAGCCATGTCCGAGGCATGTCTTAGTGCTGTCAATCATCCTAACCCTTCTTGCTGACTGCTCAGGCTAGTTGGCATGACTAGCCAAGTGGATAAACAGTTTTCCTGGAGCAGTAAGTGGTTTCTCTGCCATTTGCACATTATACAGCACATACCTAGGATGATTGACAGCATACCCCAGATGGGGTTTTGACTGGGAGCGGTACATTTCTTCAGAGAGAGGAGATGGAGGAGTTTGATTTTTTTCGCAGATTATCTGTCCCATGTAATACTATCACATGGGATAGTGACAGTTTTAACAATTAAAAAAATATATATACATATTTTTTTATTTATAAAAGTTACGTACACCAGCTTTAACAAATATATAAAAGGATTAATATTCTTGAATTGATTCCGCAATTAAGTTTAGTTTTTTTTTGTGCTTATTGTCACCCCCTGTTGGAAGTAGAATAGAATAGAATAGAATAGCATTTATTGTCATTGAACAGGATTCAACGAAATTTCTATTGCAACTATATATAGTATAGGTAGATTGGCTTTTTTTTTCTGTTTTAAATTAATTAAGAAAAATATCCAAGTGTGAAGGCTTACTTAGGACACATGGAGTCATGTAGTATCCACTTTTAAGTTTGGGGTCAGATGGGACAAATCGTTCTCCTCCACACAACACCGTGGCTCCCTGACAGTAGAGCATCACAACACATATCAGAGTCTTAAAACACAGACATTTGAGGATTATTTTAAGGGACTTGCCTCTTTCTTCGCCTGTTCGACAAACGATAGCACTTTGTCCAGATGTGGTCGGCTGACCAGCGCTCCCATTCTGGTGCTCTCCAGCAGCGGGTCTCCTATTTCAATCGCCTGGGTTCTTTTCACCACCTCCTCGACAAACTCGGCCAGGACGTCCTTCTGCACGTACACCCTCGTGCCGTTACTGCACACCTGTGAGTTTACACGCTCAATCAACCACGCAAACAGGAGCCAGCCGCATTTACCGAGCTACTCGGCTTCTGAGCTACAAAGAGGTGAGAGTGCATGATTATCTCTACCTGTCCTTGAGACAGGAAGTTGGCCATGAGCGCGCCTCTCACAGCATTCTCCAGATCGCTGTCCTTAAATATGATGAGGGGAGATTTGCCACCGAGCTCCAAAGTCACCGGCTTGATCCCCTTCGATGCCATTTCCATGATCTGAAAGTTAACGTCACATTCAAGAATACCCGTTATTCATTTTGTTTATTTAAATTTCACAATTAAAGGGGTGGTATTACATGTTTTTTGGCCACAAAGTGCCACTTTGTAGCACAATCAATAACTATCCCCTTAAGTTGTAACAAAAGTGCTATATCTATCCGATAGGACTTTAAAACACTTCATTTTGTAATTTAAAGGGGCAGTATTGTGTAAAATTGACTTTTTTGAGCTTTACAACATGCTTCAACAAGCTAGCCAGAAGCGGAGGTATTTGCTAATTGCTGAATGCTAGTCTGAAGGATAACGGCGCAGACCCTTCAACCCAGGCGTTTTGCACAACTGAATGGTTGCCACGGGAGATTAAAGCAACACTCCAGGTATTATTTTGATGAGGGAATAACATTATAACATGAAGTAAAGGTAAAAAAAAGTCTATTTTGGATAATACTACCCCTTAATTAAATGTTGACAATAGAAGCACTGACCTTCTGTCCTGTGGGCACACTTCCTGTGAAGGACACCTTATTGACATCAGGGTGTTGACACAGTAAGCTGCCAGTTTCCTGTCCACCCTGTACCACGTTGAACAGCCCCTCAGGAGCTCCAGCCTTGGCGTAGATCTCAGCCAGTAGCACTGCTGTTACTGGTGTGACTGGGGACGGCTTGAACACCATGGAGTTCCCTGTGTTCAGGAAGCACAACAACTGACAGCTAAGTCGTCTGACTTCTACAGTCAAAGCAATGGTTGATCGGCTCATCCAGCCGGGTCAAAAAGAATCGGTTCGTGTTCATAGTTCATGACAAACTGATCTCCAACTTGAAACATTTGTCGTAATTTTTCTGCGTTAAAAAAAAAATACAGGTCATGACATCATTCACATATTAGCATATGGATTATGTGGTTGACATGTTTATTTTCTCCTGTTGTCTTTGTTCACATAAAGTATATTTTATAATGGCTGCATTAATTTAAACGTGACTCGCATTCACATGTTTCAATTCTGACTATACAGCACATACCTAGGATGATTGACAGCATTAAAACCCTCCTCCTGGCTCTGACTGGTTGTTTTTGACTGGGAGCGGTACATTTCTTCAGAGAGAGAGGAGATGGATTCAATTCTGTAACACTTTTAACAAGCAAGCCAGAGCAGATGGCCAGTAGTAAATTGCTTTAATACGACTTTTTTTCTTCTTTATCCTTTCAGATTGTACATATAATATTTTGGTCATAAGAGGAGATATTATCCTCTTTCAGTAGCTGCAGCAAAACAATCCTCTGTGTAACCCGGCAGCTTTAAAACAGCTCCAACTGCGCTTAGGTGTCGCTTAGCTACACTTTTTCTTCAGCTAACCTGCGATTAATTTCGCAGATGTAGCGATTAATTGGGATCAAAATGTTTTCCGAGCTTCCAGAGGAAATCCCCGTACCACAGGCCAGCGCTGGAGCAGACTTCCAGGCAACGATCTGGAAGGGATAATTCCAGGCGCCGATGCCCACACACACTCCCAGAGGCTCCCTGCGGGTGTAGGCGAAGGATCCTCCCGGCAACTGAACATGCTGTCCTTGGCAGAAAGGAACACAAAAACAAAAAGGAGCAAATTACGGTGGTGTGTATGAGATTCATAATCGATAAACACTTCATTTATTAAAAACAGCTTTCAGTAATACATCAGTAGTCAAATTTATGATGAATATTTATCCCTGAAATTCAACTCATGAAAAGTGTTTCTCATGCCAATGAATCATGGAAAAAAATTTGTAAAATAAAATGTGGATACTTAAAAAAATACCAGATATTATTTTTTGAAATAGGCTTGTTATTGCCATATGCAACGTGTTGACTTTTTTTGCTGATGGATTTTGTGACAGAGAAATGCTGCCATTTTTGCCATTATACAATCAAGACATCATTCTTTAGTTCTTTTTAACCTAACCTAGTCCTTGTACCCTCTGCAAACCAGCTTTGCTGATCTTTGCATTTTTCTTAGCAGTTCTATATACCCAATACTGTGCTAAGAACCCATTTTTAGAAAGTGTGTAGTAAAAAAATAAAATAAAAATTGACCAAATAAGTAAAAACAGTCCTTCAAGCGCAGTTTGCACCAACCTGCCAGAGTGCTGGCCAGTCCGGCGTAGTATTCTATACACAGTCTAGCAGAGTCCACGTCCAGACGGGCCTCTGTGATGGACTTTCCATTGTTGACCACCTCCATTTCAGCGATCTCCTCTCTCCTGCTCTGTGAAGGACACCTGGGTGAAAACGCTTTACGCTGTTTTCGGTCTAGAAACGACAGGATCAACAAAATCTTGAACACACCTCTATTAAGTGGGCGGCTTCTATCATGATCCTCGCCCGCTCCATGCCGGACATTTTGCTCCAGGGATCAAAGGCCGACTTAGCAGCCTTCACGGCCTGATCTACTTCTTCTCTGCCGCATGGCTCCAAATGACACAAAACACGGCCTGGAGTGAGGAAAAAACAAACAAGCCATTCAAAACATCAAATGAATTGCAAGTCATTTTTATACACCGCCTTGTGAAAGTATCAACGCTCCTTGAAGAGTAGAAACAGAAAATTGAGTGCACTAAGGATGCTTCAGTCCGATATTAACATCTGTATCGGATTTTTCAATATCTAGATCGGTATTGGTGACAATGTGCCTGATCCGTAAGGTTAGGTCTATTCAGTCTAATTCTATGTTTTGTGCTCTGAGTTAAGCTTTAGTATTTATTTTACATAAATAAATAACATACATTTGAAAGAATTTGCAGTTGTTTTTTTTAAATATATGTTTGACCAATTGTTTTTGCCAGTTTAAAAGTTTCTTTATTGTTGATTTTACATTAACTGTTATGGTCCTAATTGCACTGACTCCACAAATTGAAGTTAAACTACTGGTGTATTTATTTGTGCTGGACCCAAGTAAAATTTTAGTTTGCTTAAAAAAAAAATCTAGCATTTTTGATTTTCAAATTGCGAACTGGGGTCGCTAAAGATCGGATCATCTGACAAGAGTCTTCGCACAACGACGACCAAAGTTCAGCGGTTACGAAACGGGGTCAGATTTACCCGTGGCCGGTTCGTAAACCGTTTCCCTCTCGCGGCTTCCTCGGCTCGTCCTTCTCCGTCCAGCCCAGAAGTTCAGCGGGTCGGTGATGTCCACCGAGCCCGAAGACAAGCGCCTCACGGCGGCAGATAGAGTCGGAGCGACTTTAGGCCGCGACGGGAAGTCGAGGAGTCTCCGAAGCATACTTACACCGTCCCTTTTAATTCTACTTTCAGAAGCGACTGTTAAAAGGGAAAAAAAGACATAATAATACAACATACGGGTCCTTTCATAGCAGCATGTGAAAAAGTGAGTTTCAAACGCGAACAGACGTATTTTGTGCTGTTTTTAGACGAGAACTTAGGCTCGTTGATGCACTTACAAACAGAAAACGTCACATTAAATGTTGAGGTTGTAGCTTCTACTAAAAGTGTTAAGTTATCTCTTGGCCAGTTGTGCAGCGGTTCAGGGGAGGTGGAGCAAACCGACGCTGCCGAACAGCGACCCATAGACGGACGCAGATAGATGCTGCGAGTGCGTCAGGCTCGCGTGTCGCCATATTGTGAGTGGCATTAAATATTCTGTCCCATGGGGAAAAAAGTACAATTATACAATTTAAATAGCATAAAATAAGTTTACGTGTATGTTTTAGCAGCGGAAACTACTTTTAGCAGCTGATGGAAAAAAATAACAAGGAAAGGAGCAAGTGGCCACCAAGATGTTTCTCTGTTAATGTTTGCGCATGTTCGGAAACATTATTTCCGAACATTCAAAAGATCAAGATCAGGCTTGATCTTTTGACCATATGTGGGGAGTGTTGCCAAAAACAGTACTCAAGATGAGAGTTGCTTCAAAAATAATATTACTTAAACTAAACAATATTTTAGTTTTCGGAGAAATTTTGCCACTCAATATCACGAACAAATATTTATTCGTTGCGGCGTCTACGCTTCCATATCTATGCTGCGGTCGCTGGACGAGCAACATGCTATGTGATAGTCACGCTGTCCGTCAAGGTAAAACGTTCAGAAACAAAATCTTCTTGTGTCGTAAATGAAATAAAAGTGGTCTTTCCTGCCATAAAACTGAGCTCCAGTGGGAAAACGAGCGCCCTGATTTGATAAACGTCGGTGTCGTAAACAGCGGGAGCGGAGTGGGAGGAGCTCCGTCACAGTGACGTTCCAGCGCAGCTTCTCCAACGGCACATTGCAAGTATGGCCGGGGACAGCGACACACTTCTCAGGGACCGGGATGAGAGCGCCACCGTTACTCGACAGCCTTTCCTCATAGGCGTCTCCGGTGGCACTGCTAGTGGAAAGGTTCGCCTTCTCATTTCGTACTTTAGCCGCTCTCCGAAAATGTCAGAGTTTTTATTTTTATTTTTAAAGCCACAGCTGACGTTGGCACAGTAACCGGATGCTAACGCTAAATGAACCGCGTGGCTTGTGTGACGCATAGTTGAGAGTCTACGGTCTGCTTTATCATCTGTTCGCAGTGACGGTCCATTTCTGCGGCTGGGTTCGGCTACGTTATCAGCGGTGGTCCAGAAAGCCGTGCTTCTGTTTTTGTCCCTTTTTCCCGTAGCTTTTGAATGAATGCACCAGTTTTCCTTTGGTGTGCCGTGGGGCTAACTCATGCTGGAATTCCATCACATGGCAGCTGGTTGGGCAAAACAATAGATGATGCTAAAAAGCGAGCATATTGAGTCTATTGTGGTTTTAGCTCTTCTTCAAAAAAATTATGTAATATCTGTACGCACTTCTAAAAGTACGAACCCTTTGGGAATCGTCAGTGGTAAACACGGTTAGCCTAGCCTTGCTGCTGACGTGAATGAGTTGCAGGCGCTCGCGGGAAGATGCCGAACAAAAAGAGTTCGCCCACGTCCCTTTTTGTCCTTCAGACGCCGCGTGGGCAGTGCTGACAGGCCAGCGTCAGAGCAGACGCGCTTCAAGATGTGCGACTCAAATTCTGTCGCAACCGAACCTAGATAACAGAATAATACTATGAAATGAACTTCTCGGGAAAACTTTTAAGAAATATCCTCTGAAATTGATTCACAGAGGAAAGTTGCTCCAGGTTCTGATTCCAGTCCGCACAGCTGACTGTTGCAACTTTATCCCCGCCCCTTTTACTTGATCTCTTCTTTTATCGCTGATGTCATATCTCTGCTTGGTGACGCAGGTTTGGACTTCTGTACAACCAGCAGGTGTTAAAACCACGCAGGCTTTCACTTATCCTTCCCATAATCTGTAAAGGTCCCAATAAAAATAATAGTTTGGGCAACTGACATTGAGAAGAAATGTTCTAGCAATATTGCTGTAACTGACCCAAATATACTTGTTTGGTTGGGGGAGGGGGAGCCAACTGGTCATCCCTCGTACTTAGAGTGAATCTACTGAGAACTAGAATGAATAGATCGATCTGTGAGGTAAGACGGTGAGCATGTCAGTTGTGCCAGCTGGTATCGCCGACCTGATTCCAGTGTATGTTAATAGTTGTCCATCTTGTCTTAAAAAAACCAACAAAAAAAACCCCAAAACTGCTGCATCTGGCCAAAATTGACTTGCCACTGCCACTGGGGGCAACAAAACTGATTGCTGCACAGTTTTATTGCCACAAAGGCACATAGGCCTCAGGAGGGGCAGGGAATGCCCAGTCAGCAATGGGCTGCCGAGGTTAGTGAGGGCACTCTCCATGGCCCACGGAGCACTTTTTTATTATTTTATTTTTGATTAATTGGTTTAAAAAAAAAAAAAAAAAAAAGCAAAGTATGTCTCACCCAGACATTTCCAGTTACTACATAGGGATCAATTTGGCCATTCTGAATGTTTTATCCATTTCATCGGCTCCGTTGTCTCTTGTAACAGTCGTCTGTGTGCGAGAAGATCATGGAGAAACTGGGCCAGAACGAAATCGACTGCCACCAGCGGCAGGTGGCGATCCTCAGCCAGGACAGCTTCTACAAGGTGCTGACTCCAGAGCAGAAAGCCAAAGCACTAAAGGGCCAGTTCAACTTCGATCATCCAGGTATGGAAGCGCTCAACGGTGTCTGTCACGATAACAGACGGTGACATTTTGTCTCTGAAATGATCGCAATAGACGAAGACATTGCCGTTTTGAGACTCTTTTTGAGAAAATCTCTCAAAGACAAACGTTAATTTCTCAAAGAATATTTAACTGGAAGACATTTGGAATATCCAAAATAAATGAATCAAAAAATAAACAAGGTTATGAAGAATCAGGAAATAAATAAAAATGTCTTTCAAAGGGAAAGGAGAATTGGGGAAAACTGCCAGTTCAGACTTCAGTCAAAAAAAAATGCAAACAATCTACTTTGTACCAATCAGACCCAGGAGGAGGACCCGAGTGCTGTCTATCATCCTCTTGCATGCGTTGCTGAATGCGCTGATGGAGAAACAACTTAATGTTGTTTAAAAAAAAAGTTTGCCATCAGTGCCCATGCTAACTAGCCTTAGCATTCATGCCAGGTTATGATGAGCTGATGAACAAACAGTAAACAAACTCATAACCTTTTTTTGCTTTTTCTAGATGCCTTCGACAATGAGCTTATCATGCAGACGCTCAGAGAAATACTTCAGGGAGAGACGGTGCAAATCCCAGTTTACGACTTTGTTACTCATTCCAGGCAAGCGTTTCCTTCTTTCTCTTCCCAGATTCTGTTTCCTTAGCACTTCCGAGAATTGTGTTTCCCATAGCAGAGTGTTTTCATAAACAAGTTTCCGACCTGAATGGAACACGTTTTTTTTTTTTTCTCTCAGATTTTGTAATCCACCTCGAGTTGTTGTTTTTCCCCTCCAGCCACAGAGAAAAGGGAACTTTTTCTGTGTGTTGTTCCAGGAAAGAGGAGTTTGTTACGGTGTACCCGGCCGACGTGGTCCTGTTTGAGGGCATCCTCATGTTCTACTCTCAGGAAATCAGGGATCTGTTCCAGATGAAGCTGTTTGTTGACACAGACCCAGACACGCGGCTCTCGCGTCGAGGTGTATAGAAAAAGATCCGATTGGACACTCACTGTTGTCACTTGTTTAAAAGTAATCTGAACAATGATTAGTAAGACTCCAAGGTAACCAGCAGTAGTGAAAGGGGTGGAATTCCACAGGGGTGTCTTGTAAATATCTTATGTGGTTATTGTGACTTTTTTTTTTTTTCCAGTTCTGAGGGATATTAACGAGCGTGGCAGAGACCTTGAACAAGTGCTGACTCAGTATATTACTTTTGTAAAGCCGGCCTTTGAGGAGTTTTGTTTGCCGGTAAGTGACAATGCAGGGATTTTTCTACTTTTATTTACTGTTTCAAGTTTAGTTTTTTTCGTTTTTTAAGTTCTGCATAGTCAAGACTCAGATATTAATTTTTGATGATCAAAAATGGCTTAAATTTCTCACACTCTTAACATTAGTAGATAAATACAAGAATACACTTTTTTTCCCATGTAAAGATTCTTGTAAATTCCATCAAACATTCGGTACGTAACCAACACAAATAATCGATCAATTGGCAAAACAACTGATATTTTCAGATTTTCAGTATGTTGGTCACAATGTTTGTAGAATATCAGTGCTGCAGTTGCAGCGATGATCCAATAGATGGGGCTGTTTTTCTGAGATTTATTTTCTTTCTCCATTGTTTTTGACTTCTTTCAATGAAAAATATGTTTTGATTATAGCTTTAATTTGAGCTGCATTGAAAATGTTTCGACTTGCTTTATCTTGAACTTTTCTTTTTTCTTCTAGACAAAGAAGTATGCAGACTTGATTATTCCAAAAGGAGCAGATAACCTTGGTAAGACAAGACTGGTTATGTCAATAAACAGTAGGATGGCTGAGGGTGTTAACTTTACCCTACAAGGAAAATGTAAACATTCTCCTGCGTTTTTGTGTACTGCTCTCTGTAACTCCAATCTGTTTTTTTTTTTTTGTTGTTGTTTTTTTATGTGGTTGCAGGCTTGTTTTTTATTTTTTTATTTATCAGTTTCAGTTTGTTTATTTTAGATCAGCTGCTCTACTTCCAATGACAGAGTACATTAAAAGTTTTTGTTTTTACAAGTTTGACCAAGCTTGTGAAGCTGTTGGTGTTCTGTACTGGTGCAGAGTTATCAAGTAAATTGGTAATTCCGGACTTTCATGTCTGGATTTAAAGAAACCCCGAACATTTCGAGTCAATTCAGGACTCTTGCTTCTGTATTGGATCAGTATCGGTCGATACCGCGCCTCAGATTTTGTACTGAAAGTGGATCGTTCATACCTGTTCACCACCCTGCATTTTTACAAACACAAACATGTTCATAAAAAAAAAAGTATTTGGCATGGAAGCCGTGTTAGATGAATCAGTTCAATCTCAAAGAATACTTTGTGCGTTTTGACGGCAATTTTTGTGGTTCACGTAACCGTTTCCTGTTTTGCAGTGGCCATCAACTTGATCGTCCAGCACATCCAAGACATTCTGAACGGTGGACAGACCAAGCGTCAGAACGGCTTCACGAACGGACACAGCGCCCCCCGGCAGCGGAGGACCTCGGAGTCGAGCAGCCGCCCTCACTGACGCAGAGGCCCCTCTCTTCGTGGGGCGGAGAGGGGTGTTGGAGTTGCACTGTAAATAACGCCACCCTGGCTACACTGTATTTAAAAAGCGAAGAGACACAGAAGTAATTGAAATGCCTTGCATTGAGCCCTTTTGTGATCAGTTATGTTTTTTTTTTTGTGTCAAACCTGAACTTAGATTTTCTTTTGTTGTTTGGAGGGTAAAGAAGGGACCTGTTTAAACTGGGTTTTTCTCCCTGCTCTATTTTTTTTTAATGTCCCCTTGCTAAACAACGGAAGTCTTTTCTGGTAGAAAATAAAAAAAAATCCTTTTTTTTTTTTGTTTCTGGTAAAACTTGAAGCCCTGGTTTTTAGGGCAACCTTATAAATGTTTGAGGATCTGAAACAAAAAAATACGGTTTAACGTTGGTCAAAGGAAGGTTGATCTCTGTATTGACAATCTTGGGAGTGTTTCTCATTGTTTTGTCAATGATTCGAATCAATATCCACCTCAGTGTTTCACACGTGCATCGTCACACATCAAAACAAATGCTGGCAAGTTTCCAGTTCATCCAAAAAGGATCAAAATGCTTTTTTTTTACATTTATTTATTGAAATTTAAATGATGCAAAAAACAAGGTCTAAGTGTTTATTTAAAATAAGATAATCTACATTAATTTTCATAACTTGGGTGCTTCTGCTCGCATTCAAACAGCCAAATCACAGCTGTGACATCATGATGACATATTCTCAGGGTAATGCAATTGGCCTAAAATGCCACATTAATGAATGATGGGGGCTGGTCCAGGGGTGTTACTTGCCTCAGCAATAGCATTCATTCCAGATGTGTGGCAAACCACCATAATGCCTCGGTAAAGTTGCCTCAGGTTTTCATGCAAATCTCAACACTAGGAACCGGTCTGTTCTGGATAGGTTTTCAATAAATACGTTTTTTTTTTCCTTCATGCCAAGTCCTATGTTTGTCATGTGCAATTGAATGAATGAGTTGTGAATGGTTGTGGAGTAAGGGACTGATCGGTTAGTTGAAGTTGAATTTGTCAGTTGCCTAATAGTAAATAAACTGATGCAGATGAGTTTTGTTTTGGGGTGTTTCTTTTCAGTATGGCGCAAGATTTCTGAGCTGAAATCAAAATGGTCCACTTTGGCCTCTAGAGGGAGCGCGAGAGTTGGGCTGACGCGTTCAGTGGCAAACGTGCGTTCATAATGTCAAGGTACAAAATTTTAAGTCAACAGTGAATTTGAAAGTTTTAATTCACAAAAATGTTCATGAATAAGTGTTTTTACAAGGGACGTTTTTCCAAGTCGGGTTTACATGTTCGTTCAAACCGGGTTGTTTGGCTCCACAATGTTTGCGTGTTTAGGTTGAAGTCTTTGTTTCAAAAGGAGGAAAACTTAAACGTATTTTTACATAAAAACGCCGAACAAAGCAGCAAGACATTAACCTTTAACGCTTCACTCGGACCACTTTCAGTGCTGAAAAGTGGGTAAAATGTACAAATTTTGAGGATTCCTGAACGCCTCAGAGACGGCTGCAGTCGCCGGAGCGTCAAGATGGTGGTACGTGTCGCCCCAGCTGCGGGGTTCTGACCCCACGGCGCGCACGTCCCCCTGGTTCTGTCTCGGTACTAATGCCTCTCTGTTTCACGACAGAAGTTCGGGCTGCAGTTTAAAGCCAACCTGGAGAACGTGACAAACGTCCGGCCGATGGGGGAAGACTTCCGCTGGTTTCTGAAGGTAAGGCGGCGAAAACGCTGCCATGCTTTTATTCATAGCCCTGTTTTTGACTGTAGAAAACCCCTCCGTGTCACCTGCTGATTAATTTGAGCTGCAAGCATGTGTACAGTGTAGTTTGCTGTGGAGCCGCCTCAGAAACAGCTCGAGGCATGCTAACAACAACATGCAGGGGAGGGTGGTGGTGGTGTGCTAGTAGGAAATGTATGGAGGAATATTAGTGTCATTGCTGGTCACTGGGGAAGTACATTAATGCCAAGAAAATCAACGAAACTGTGGGATTAATTTGACATATTTGCAAGAGAAAACTTGGACATTGTTTTATGTCAAAGTCGTACATTTCAAATAAAACGAGGACACGTTGTTATTCTTTGTGATAGTAAAAACAAAGATGTTGTGTGACATAGCAATGTTTAGAAAAACAATTCTTATAGCTATTAGAAAACTCCTAAAATAATTAAGTCAGAACTCCTTTACAGGTAGAGGTGGTAGACGTAGGGGGTTTACATCTTTTTGTCGCAAAAGTGTGGCTTTAAAATAAAATTTGGATTTTCTTTTTTTCCAAAAAATGTGCAACTTTATTATGTTGTAGCATATCTAGGTTATAATAATGTAAATGCACTCCTTCAATCACAGAAAATTGTAATTTTTTAAAAATATCTATTACTTCAACACCAGAGAATATCCACATTTTTTTGTTTTGCTTGTGAGTATTTTTTAAAAAAAAATTGTTTCCGTTTTATTTACAACGACTCAAATGCACCACCACCACGCCAATGAGAAGCAAAACAATGCTGTTGATGCTCATTCTGTGCTATTTCACTTACAAGCAGGAGTTTTCAGTCAATGTTGAGATTTCCTGATTGCAATTTGATTTTCCATCCATCCTTTTTCTAACACCCTTGTCCCTGACAGTATCAGGTGCTGGTGCCTAACTCCAGCTACTGTCCCGGGCAACACAGAGACAGACAGGACAAACAACCATGTAAACACACACTCACACCTAGGGAGAATTTAGAGAGACCAATTAGCTGGAGTACCTGGAGAGAACATGCAAACTCCGTGCACAAAGTTCCCGGGCCGGGGAATCGAACCCAGGACCTTCTTGCTGCAAGGCAAGAAGGTCAAATTACCAAATCAAATTACAGTGCTGCCAACTGTAATTTAACTTTGTTGCAGCATTTTTAAAAATTATTTAAAACGAGTTGATCTTATATTAAAACCAATATGAAACGATAAAAAGACAGTGAAACTGACAAAAACTCAAAATACGTAGGAAGCCTTTGCGACTTGAACGCACCGTGTGCAGTCAAGGCCAGGACGTAGACCACCAGAGCCACTTCATGTTCCCCGTCGCTCTGCTCACACTCGCTCCTCATTTTCTCCTCTCTCCTTCAGCTGAAGTGCGGGAACTGTGGGGAGGTCCCGGACAAATGGCAGTATGTGACTCTACTGGTAAGTAGAAAACCTTCATTAAAAAAAAAAAAAAAAAAATAATGAAAAATTTGCCGTCCCGTATATTCGCCCGGTCTCTGTGTCGATAGGAGAGCGTTCCGCTGAAAGGAGGCCGAGGGAGCGCCAGCATGGTGCAGAAATGCAAACTGTGTGCGAGGGAGAATTCAATAGGTGTGCATGAGTGCGCCATTAAATGTGCCAGCTGCCCGTTTGAGATGTTTGAACTGATCTGAGGCCAATTTTCTCCATTGCAGAAATTCTGAGAGACACCATTACCCCTTATAATGTAAGTAGACCGTCTGGTACCACGTGGGATGTCAAACATGGCCTACCACGGCTCAGTTTTTCCAGCATACCGAGTTTTGTTTGTTTGTTTTTTTTTTTTTTTTTTTTTTTTTCTTTTTTAGGATTGAAACAATTAATTGGATTAATCATGATTAATTGGTTACTGAAATAACTGTTTAATTTAGTAATTGATTAATCCTTACACATCAAATACACAGACACTTAAAAAGGCCATTTTCTGAAAGAACGACACACTCAGAGCCGTAATTAAGGCAAAACTGTAGAAAAAAATATATACAAATGAAAAACCTTTTTCCGTAAAGATGCATCGTTTGTGACAAATGATCAAGCGTTCACTAAAGGAACACTGTCATTACATTTTAGGCAATAAAATGTTTATTTTCTTATTCAAAAAATAATTAAATTGTGTCTTTTGTGTATTTCTGATATTGTATAAAAAAGGCATAGGTGATTGGATAAAAAAATCAGCAGAATGTGACGATTTTGTTTTCCGATTAATCATCAGAATAATCAAATATCAAATAATCATTAGCTGTACATACTCGAAACAGCTGTCGATAGTTTCGAGTATGTACCGCGTCTCTCCTCCTGTATCTTCATAATACAATTTTATAAAACATTATTATTTCCAGGAACTTCATTGTTTTCTTTTTGTGTTTCAGTTTTCCTTTTAATCCATCTCTCTTATAATAAGTAGAGTGTGTGACGGTGTCTGTTTTCACCCTCATGGCGCTGTGTGTTCTCTGGAACGAAGGAGTCGGACAACGAGAAATTCAAGACAATAGTGCAGTTTGAGTGCCGGGGCCTGGAGCCGGTCGACTTCCAACCGCAGGCGAGAATCTTTCTGTCTTTTGATTGATGATCAGGCAGATTAATGAGAAACTTCAGAGTTCTGTAAATCTCTTCGACTGCATTTAATTAAATTAAAACACCCACCAAAATAATTTTGTACTGTTTTTTTTTTTTAACGGCGGTTACTGATTCACTGGATAAAATTTTTTTTGTACAAAGTGGTACATCTAGTTTGTTGGCTCCCCGGTGTGCTGATCTACAGAGTATTAACTCTTCTGGTATCTGGCTCCAAGATGTTGGCAAGCAGTTAAAATGAACTTTAAGTTGTTTTGTGAAGTTTTCTAATCCAAGCTGTTGAATTCTAAAACAAGTTTGGATCGATTTAAGCATATAAATTATAAAAATCTGTATTTTTTTTTACATGTTTTTTCACTTTAAAGTTATATTTCTTAACAGTTTTTATTTATTCAAAGACCTGTGAAAATTTGGGATATGCACACTTTGACTTTAAAAGCTATAAAATCAAAGATCCTACAAAGTCATGCACTGTGTGACTCCGATTTTAGGATTTACCCAAAGTGTTTTTCCTTTTCTTCTGACCTACATCACAAACAGTTTTTTCTGTTTTTATTTTATTTTATTTTTTATCTCTACTCTGGACAAAGTTACTCTCTTTTAATAAAGATTGAATTGAATATAACACCATCTCTCCTCCCACAGGCTGGATTTGCTGCAGAGGGAGCAGAGACTGGAACGCCGTTTCCTGATGTCAACCTGCTAGAAAAAGTGAGAACATTGTGGCCACCTTGTCCCAAAAGTTATTTTGTTAGATTATTAATCCACCATCTGTTCCAGCTGTTCCCGAAAGTGTTACTTTTCTTTCTTAATTTGTCTATTTTATTTTACTCATGTTGCACATTTTAGGACTGGAACGACTACGACGATAAAGCCAAGGAGTCTGTGGGAATCTATGAGGTCACGCATCGATTCATCAAGTGTTGACGTTCGTTCCCGTTTCTTGGCTTATGCTCAACAAGACATGAACCTTGTGCATTGTTTTAATAAAAGTGAAGATGATGTCTTCTGATGTTTTTTTCTTTATCATAGTTCAGTTTAAAAAAAACCTTCAAAAGTAATTGATCATAGATATATTACAACTTTAGTTAATTTTTTTTTTCACAAGGGCTGAAAACTGACTTTCCAGACCAGTAAATAAAATTATGAGCACATTACAATTTATTAAATGTGGCATTAGTAAAATGAATTTGAATGCGCGGTAATGAATGCTCTCCTGCTCTGGATTAGACTCTAGCGCCACCATGTAAGGTTGGATGGAAAGTCTTCCGTTGTGACATCTTTACTAAACTTTGACATGAAAAGTTTCTCGGGCCGGTAGGTAATCGCGGAGCTGCTATCAAACTACAAAAATGGCCGAACGGGGCGGAGTGGAACTCTCTGCGACCTGGATGGGGCGGGGCGTGAAACGTCTCATTGACTTTTAAAGAAACCGCAGCGAACAGAGTTTCTCTAAAACGCTCCTCAGATCAGGGGGGGTAAACGAGGAGTGTTTGTGGAGTCACAATAACGAGGAACCAGAACGTTGCAGTTGTGCTTCATATTATGAAGGAATAATTTGAGAGTGTGATATGTCCACTTTAAGAATAGTTAAATCTAAATTTGTTACCCAATTCAGTCGTTCAACTGTTTTTTTCAGCTAAGTGACACATCTCGCATGTAATAGACGATCTATGTTGTAGGTTGGTCCTCCCGGTGCTGTCACAGCCGCTGTTTTTCCTCTCTGAAATCAGGGCAAGTGGAGAAAGGAGCAACCATGGCGCCTGGAAAAACGAACAGGGTGTTTGTTATCGGCGTGGGCATGACGAAGGTAGTATTTTTGTTCTTCACTCGCCTGCTTGGACTCGCAGCGTGGTACTTCCGACCAGGCGCTGAGAAGTTTGAACGTTAGCATCGGAGGCTAATTCCAGGCCAGGACCTGCTGCTGAAAGTTTCCCTGCTGTTGTCAAACTCGTCTGTTGATGGGAGACATTTACAAACACCATCACCCCGAATGAAACACAATTCTTGTTAATATCAGCTTCATAAATGGTCACTGCCCAACTCTGGAAGCTGAATTCAGGCTTCAATATGACAGAGGACTGATGGAGCTGTGCTTTCTGTTGGGTCATAGTTTAAAGTCCAGAGAGTTGTCAAAGTGGGTCAGAGGTCATCTCTCTGAGAGGGGAGGTTAGCCCCCCTTTTTGCAACCAGCTCTGCACAACTGCAATGCTCTGGTTGCAAGTTAGACTTTCCAAGAATAAAAACTAGATCTGTTAACATATTCATAGTGGAAACAAAATGCTTTGAATTTTGCTGATGGTACTTTTTGTCTTTACTTTCTTTGTTTTTGGCCTGAATACAGAACAAAATATGTAGAAGTATGTATTAAATATGTAGTAAATACAAAGTTAAGCACTTTGTATTTACTACATAAATTTGTAAACTTGCTGCTGAAATGTGCTATACAAATAAAATTTGATTTGATTTGATTTTTTGGGTCGTCTGTGTTTTTCTGCAGTTTGACAAGCCTGGAGCCAGAGGGGACTACGACTACCCTGACATGGCTAAAGAAGCAGGTGATCATTGGTGCAACAAGACGGAGCTCGACTTCATTTAGACGACACGTGCAGCCATAAATGATGACTTTTTTTCTAGGGACTGGCCACTCCAGAACCTTGACTTTGTCGGTTTTTGTTTGTCATGTGACATGCAAACCAGGCATGATCCGTGTTTATCTGTGTTGAAGGTGAAAAAGCTCTAAAAGACGCGAAGATCCCGTATTCGGCCATTGAACAGGCCTGTGTGGGATATGTTTACGGTGAGACACTCAGTGAAATATATATATATATATATATATATATATATATATATATATATAATATATTGGTTTATATGAAAAAATTCCCGTATTTTAGATTTCAGTAGACCTGATTGCTAACGTCTGTTTTATTGCTGAAGGTGATTCCACATGTGGCCAGAGAGCGATTTACCACAGCTTGGGCCTGACAGGAATCCCCATCATCAACGTGAACAACAACTGCTCCACCGGCTCCACCGCTCTCTTCATGGCTCGTCAGCTGATCCAGGGAGGTGAGTCCCGGAAAAAAGCGCCAGACTTTGGGGTACGTTCACACCAGCCCTGTTCAGTCCGCTTTGGTCCAACTCTAGAAAGTCCAGTTCATTTTGGGGGGATTTGTCAACGCACAGTCAAACCAAAAAAAGTGAACTCCGGTCCACCTAAAAACCTGGTGGAAGTGAAATCTGGCACGGTTTGGGTACACATGTGTACGCAAGTGGACTGGAGACCGCGGACTACGGTGCAGAGCATTCTGGGTAACCAAAACAAACTTGAGGGAGAAATGGTTCATGGTCTTTTAAAAACAACAAGAGAAATCCTCCAACCATGAACGTATTAGATCACTTCATTTTTGTTCACATTTTGTGACGACGAAAGTGGCTCCCGGTATCTTCTTCTGAGGTTCTCTTGTCGTTTCCTGTGGTGGTTCTTGGCGCAGCGCCACCACAGGAGAGGGGCGGGAACAAGTTTTCCGTGGATTTGGATCATTTGATAACGGTGCAGCGTGAAAGTGAAGCTCACCAACTGAAACTGTAACAAATGTTTCTATCCCCAGTAGAAACAAGTCCACCGGACTGTCAAATGTGAGAACAGCCCTTTTGTCTTTTTCCAAAAATGCCAGACAAGACTTCGTACCTTTTGGATAAACAGAATTTATGCCTGATCACTTGAGTCTACTAATGTCAGTTTAGAAAAAAAAAAACCATAAAATAACAACAACCTTTGCTGCAGACTCCAACCCCCTGCTGTAATTGAACCCACGTCTTGTTAATGTCTTGCAGGTCTTGCCGACTGCGTGCTTGCTCTTGGTTTTGAGAAGATGGAGAGAGGCTCCTTGACCACAAAGGTACGATTCTTACAGTCTCATCTTTTCTGATGACTGTGTCTCTCCTTTCTTCCTTCATTGTTTTGTTCATCCCATTCCTCTGCCTCTGGTGATGTGAAATAACAGCAACAGAACTGAGGACTCTTTAAAATTCTAAAATGCTCAAAACTCGATCATTCTCATCTTTTTTTTTTGTTTGTTTGTTTGTACGTTATCTGTACTGCGTAGCTGCAAACTGATTTTATGTCTTTCTCTTTTTTTCTTGTTTTTAGTACATGGATCGGACCAATCCAATGGACAAGCACATGGAGGTGATGATTAACCGCTACGGGATGGAGGCGGCACCGGGAGCGCCGCAGATGTTTGGCAACGCCGGCAGGGAGCACATGGAGAAATACGGTACTTTTTAAAAATGCTCTCAGCTCAAATTTATGTACAGAATAAAACATAATAGATACAAGGAGCAATAATTGCTTCTGTAAGGTCGTTGCGGAGATCATTTTGTGCTTTAGTGTTAAAGCACAACGGTGTGCTCCAGAGCGACACCTGCTGGCAGAGAGTTGGTCACACTGGTGACCATAAATCAACATGGCAGCTCCTTAGTTGTTCTCGTGTGGTTAATAAGTAATGATGGAATGTAATTTGTTCTGTATTAGTAATACAATAAATCTGCACTTTAGATTTGATAAATGATAACTTAGGAGAGCTAAGGGTGCTTCAGTTAGCTGAAGTGCTAAGCTAAAGATTAGTTCCACTGATTAGTGAAAGTTTGCTGACTATTGTCTATTATCTCTACATGTAATATTACATTCAAGTGATTTTTTAACTTTTTTATTATCATATTATTGTCATATGTGGTGGTTACTTACTGTATATAAATGCTGACATGGCAAAACTTTTTATTTCTTTTTTAAAATTAGATTTTTTCACTTTTTAAGGTACAAAACCAGAACACTTTGCCAAGATTGCCTGGAAAAACCACAAGCATTCCACAAATAACCCGTAAGATGGAGGGGAAGTAGCAGTTTGTGTCCTTTAAAAGGGTTTTACTTTTGTGTAAAACAAACATGAGGTGAACTGTGTATGTTTTTTTTTTTTTTTTTTTTATCTTATATCATCTGCAGGTATTCCCAGTTCCAGGATGAGTATAGCTTGGAGCAGGTGATGAACTCCAGGAAGGTGTTTGACTTTCTAACTCTGCTGCAGTGCTGGTAGGAACGTCATTCACACCTTTTCTAATAATTATGTTGTAGTTTCTTTTTTTTGTATTCACTGTTATGCTGGATTGTAAATTAGTGTAGTTGTCATTTTAAACTGGTTTTCTATAACCCTTATTTGTTCAGGGACAACAGACAGAAAAATACTCTTTTGGCTACTTCTGGTGCATTTACAGAAATATTAATGTGCATTATCCCTCCCCAAATTAACTTCATCACAAATTGTATTAGTAGGAACTGTTAGCTTTTGAAGTAAAGATTAAGCAGAGTATTGTTTTCTCCTTACAGCCCAACTTCAGATGGCGCGGGAGCTGCGGTTTTGGCCAGCGAAGCCTTCGTTAGGAAGCACCGCCTTGAAAACCAGGCGGTGGAGATCGTGGCTCAGGAGATGGTGACAGACTTTCCCTCCACATTCAGCGAAAACAGCTGCATTAAGATGGTACGCTTGCGCAAAACGAAACCCGTTCTGACTATTAACGGACGGTTTTGAGAGCCGCGAGTGTTTTTTTCCCCCCGTGCCGTACAGGTGGGGTACGACATGTCTCGGCTGGCGGCTAAGAAGTGCTTCGAGGCCGCGGGTCTGAAGCCGGGCGACGTCGACGTGGTTGAGCTGCACGACTGCTTCTCCGCCAACGAGCTCATCACATACGAGGCTCTGGGCTTGTGTGAAGAAGGTAAAGGAAGTATCCGGTGTTAGTTTTTCAAAATAAAGTCATTTTGAACTTTTCATAATGTTTAATGTAATTTATAGTTAGTGTAAGTGCGCAAATATGGACAACTTAAACTTCTTTCTGTGATCTTTAAAGAATCCCCTTCCATTTTTGTTTTTACCTTTTGATAATAAAGAAAAGCATAAAACTGCAGAAAGAAAATGTTTCTTTCTGTGGGATGTTGAGATGTACA